ATGCATTTCATTTACATGTCAAGTCTTTTTAGTCTCTCAATCTGTAACAGTTTAGGTCTATTTTTTACTTTCACAACCTTAATATTTTTGAAGAACTGTCTTACAAAATTCCTTGAGGTGGTTTAACGTTTCCTCATAGTTAGATTCAGGTTATATATACGTGTACATACATATATGAAGAGCAGAGAGGTGCTGCTGTGCCCTTCTAGGTACCTCACATCAGGAGGTGATCACCTGGTCAAGCAGGTATTCCCCCAGCTTTCTCCACTGTAAAGCTACCATATTTCTCTTTGTAATTATAAGTAATCTGTGGGGAGATGCTTTGAAACTATGTAAATATCCTGTTACTCTTCAAATTTTCCATTGTTGATTCTTCCACAAATCAATTATTACTATAACGATTACAAAATGATTTTTCTAACTTTATTATTCCTTCTACATTTATTAGTTGGCATTATACTGTAATGAACATTTCCTCTATTCCCCTGATGCATTTTACTTGCTTATTTTATGCAGTGACTTAAAAGGCATTATTGTCATTATTCATTCTGAACTCATATTGTCCTATATTTGGCTTGAGCGCCTATGTTCTTCTGACATTTAGTACCATAAAAGGTATCCCACCAATCTTATAGACAAGGAAAATAAAGTGGCTTACCCTTTTATAAAGGCAAGTCAAAGTTCACAGAACTGGACAGTCTTTCAGCTGGAGCATTAACTACAATCTATTATAAAATCTACAATTGTTCCCTGCACTATTACTTAGAGCACCCTATAACTTACACTAGCACCTAGTCTAAAAAACAGAAAAGGAGGGAAAACTCTACATAAACATGAAATAATAAAGTAGTTGTAACATTTCCTTTCTACACCATGGACCTTAGCATTTAAATCTACTGGAGTCCTAAAACAGTCAAGAGTTAAAATAATGGTATTTAATATTCATTATTATTAATTATATCAAATATATACTCATTTAATTCTATGACTACCCTGTGAGGTAGTTATTGTTACCCGATTTTACCAGTGAGAAAACAAAATTAAAATACAAGTCAAAGAATCACATTCCAAAAGGCCCAGACTATTAAATTTATTGCCCATCACCAAATATGTGGATTATACCGAAATATAAGAAGTATCCATCATCTGGCAGGGGGTAGAGAATGAAAAGGAAAAAGCAAAAGAGGGAGCTTGGGTGAAAGCAATATTAAGTTGCAAGTGTTAGATACAGAACTTTGATTCCTGGAAAAATTGTAAAATCATTGCCATAAAGGGCATGAACTATAGACTGACAAACCAATGACAGAGTGAATTCAGGCCATGAGAAGTCTGATAAAGTCTGCTAATTTATTTAAAAAGTTAGTAGAGTGAGTGTCTAAAAAATAAAATGCTAGTAAGCTCAAATCATAGGCACAAAAAGTGAAAGGATGACAGGCACCTGCAAATCATCAATGATAGAGGGGCTAATAATGTTATATGTAAATTATACCAATTAAAATAAAGAGAAGGCTGTTTAACTAGAAGTCCAATTGCAGGCTGGGTACAGAGGCTGCATGGGTGGTGGAAAGAGCACTGGACCAGAATCAGGACATACTAGTGTAAGTCCCAAGTCTCTAATCTGTACAACTAAGAGGCTGAATATACCTCCCAAGACCCTTCCAACTGCAAAATTCCTTAAGATACAAAACAAAACTGCAGTTGCTACAGGTGAGGTATCTTGAGTGCCATCACTGAGATCAGTCTAATAAATTGAACTTATTTCACCCCATAATGTTACAAATTCTGCTTAGTTCTGCACTTTACTAACAAAAAGAAAATAAATTAGAGGGATAAGAAGCAGATGGGTTAAAATACTTGTTTTAATCCCTTATTTTTCAGAGCTTTAAAATATGCAGCTTCCACAACATTCTAAAATGTGAGAATTGCATAGCAGTATAAACACGTCAACTATAAAAATATGAGGGAGGGCATGAACAGGTAATATGTACAAGTGAAAGTTGTCATGGTACCATGTGAACTTATAAACAATATTTGCAAATATTTTCAAGAAACATTGCTCTATTTTTGTTTTAAAAAAAAAAAGCACTTCATGCCGTGGCTTGTGTTGTTCAATGGTTAGAGCACCAGCTTGTGCATCCGAGGGTCTCAAGTTCTCTTCCTGGTCAAGGGCATGCACCTGGGTTACAAGTTTGATTCCTAGCCCCTTTGGGGTGCATGCAGGAGACAACCAATTGATGTATCTTTCTCCTCCCCTCTCCCTTCCACTCTCAAAATCATTGGAGCCCTGGCCAGTTTGGCTCAGTGTATAGAGCATCGGCTTGCGGACTCAAGGGTCCTGGGTTCGATTCTGGTCAGGGGCACATGCCCGGGTTGCGGGTTTGGTCCCCAGTGGAGGGTGTGCAGGAGGCAGCATATATTTTAAAAAAATAAAATAAAATAAAAATCAATAGAAAAAAAATCTTCTGGTGAGGATTAACAAAACAAAAACAAAAGCACTTTATTTCCTCTATTCTTCCCATTATCATTCCTCCTCTCAACTTGCCAGAGTCCTAACAGCAGACAAGACTGCTGAACCCTGTTTTTAATAAAGCATAACCAGATAAGGTGACACCAACCTCAAAATAGTCAACTCTCTAGAGACATGACAAGCTCTAGCAAGTTACCCTTCCTAGCAAATATATACCTTTCATTCAATTTGGGGGATACCAGAGCCAGGTACAGGCAGACTTGAAACATACTGACCAATTTCTTTCCCTTAGAATGGTGTTCCTTTACAACGTATTTTTGTAGGTCAAATGGGACTTTGGGAATAATAATAATAGACTGGATAAAAGCCTCCTGAAAATAACCTTCCCCATTTTCCTGGTTAGCACCAGTCCCCTCTAAAGATAACAAATACTGAAATGGCCACATGGCCCTGGTTCCCTCTTTTCATGAGTTTCAGACTCTGCTACCTTTCTTTAAGTCTATTTTACTTACTCAGACTCTTCCCAATGCTCAGTATTACTTAAGTCTGTTTTTTCTACATACCCACATGGATCTTTTAATAAAGCAATTAAAAAAAACAATTTACTAACTTTTGGCTTTAATAATGTATAAATCTCTATAACAGACCATCCAATAATCCAGTTGCTTTTCATAAATATTTAAATAAACTCACATTTAACAAATCAGGATATCTGATTTTGAAACTGGCCTTTTAGCTCGGCAGATGTGGCTCAGTGGCTGAACCTATGAACCAGGAGGTCACAGTTCAATTCCCAGTCAGGGCACATGCCCGGATTCAGGCTCCATCCCCAGTGTAGGGAATGCAGGAAGACAGCCAATCAATGATTCTCTCTCATTATTGATGTTTCTATTTCTCTCTCCTTCTTCCTTCCTCTCTGAAATCAATAAAAATCTATTTTAAAAAAAGAAAAGAAATTGGCCTTCTACTAAAATAAGCCGCTTTAGATACCTATAAATCCTAAAAAGTAAAAAGAAAAAATGTTTTCCCTATCCAGCTATTCCACTTCTGGGAATATACCCAAAGGAAGTGAAAGCAGGGAATTAAGAGATACTTGAACACCCTGTTCATAACAACATTATCCACAACAGCCAAAGCAACCCAAATGCCCATCAACAGATGAATGGAATAAAAAAAATAGTATATACATACAATGGGATATTATTCAGCTTTAAAAAGGAAATTCAAAAAAAAAGAGAAAAAAATCCAGTCAGTGTGGCTCAATGGTTGAGCACCAACCTATCAACCAGGAAGTCACAGTTCGATTCCTCAGGGCACAGAGCACCAACCTATCAACCAGGAAGTCACAGTTCGATTCCTGGTCAGGGCACACGCCTGGGTTGCAGGCTCGATCTCCAGTGTGGGGCGTGCAGGAAGCAGCCAATCAATGATTCTCTCTCCCACTGATGCTTCTATCTCTCTCTCTCCCTTCCTCTCTGAAATCAGTAAAAATACATTTTTTTAAAAAAAAGGAAATTCTGACATACTCTATAACATGGATGGACACTGAGGACATGATGCTAAGTGAAAGAAGCCAGTCACAAAAGGACAAAAACTATCTGATTCTATTTATATAAGGTACCTAGAATAGTCAAATTCATAGAGATCAAAAGTAGAATGCTGGTTGCCAGAGGCTGGGGGGAGAGAGGAATGGGAAGTTGTTGTTTGTGTACAGAGTTTTACTTTTCCAAGAAGAAAGAGTTCTGGAGATTAGTTGCACAACAATATGAATGTACTTAACACTACTGAACTGTACACTTTTAGAATGGTTAAGATGTTAAATTTTGTTATGTACATTTTACCACAATTAAAAAAAAACCACAAAAACTTCTCTATGTCCCAAAGCTAAATTCTAGGGTTGAAAACCTTTTAGTTTTGAACTACTGCATTATCCATCATTTCAACAACACTTAGCAGGGTGAGAATTCAAGTGAGACAAATAGCTCTTTTTGAGTACCTTATGCTGTTTAATAACAGGTGTGTTGCCCTAAATAATTAGCTTTTAAAAAGGAATAGCCTTAACTCTCCTCTGGAACTGGTTAGTCATTTCAGTTTCCCTTCATTAAGTTCTTGATAGCTCAATATCCTCACATCTGTCATTGTTTGGGAGACTTGATTCCAAGAATATAACTGCTTCAAGGACTAAGCAACAAATTTATCTGGTTCATGGGGCAGATTTGAACCCATCTGTTTTCTAATCAAAAGCCATATTTGAATCTGTTTTATTCCATCACAGTATCGAAATAAAAGCAATGCAATCATATGGTATTTTCTTCCTTCCTATCCATGTAGTATAGATGACTACAGAAACACAAATCAATTAAAGGCATGAGAGCATCCTTAGAAACACGGTCTCTGCATACTGTAAGATGTGCTACCTTTTCAATTTTTGTTTGTTCTTTAGAAAACTGTGATTACATTTACTCTAAGTGACATGGTTTCCTTTGGAATTACACAGGAGGAAAATATTCCCATATTGTAATAACCAACTTACCGCAATCTTTTTTTAAGTTGTAAACTGTCATGGATGATCCTTTTAACAAACTCTAATTCGCCTCCTTCTGCCATGATCTCTGTGATACCTCCTGTATTTACCGAACTAGGTGGAGGTCTTCGAGAATTTCGAGAGTTTACTCCCTGAACAACAACAAAAAACCCTGGTAAAAAATTTTACACCTTAAGACCAAATCTTTGACTGTAATCTAGTTCTAAATAAGAATGCTTAGGCAAAATTTTAGTTTCCAAATGTCATGCTAGCTTTTGGATTTAAAAATCATATAATCATTCCAATACTACATTTTAAAAACTGCATTCATGCAAATATTCCTTCCTAGAATCTTTTACCTTCCATCTTTGTGATTAAACATACAAAAATTTTACCTTTTTATGTACTCAATTCTGTCACTTTTTCTTTATGTTTTCTGTCTTGATATCATGTACAGCAAATATTCCAACCAAAGATTAGATAAATATTTGTTTTCTTCTAGTACTTTCGTGGTTTTACTTTTTAAATTTAATTCACTCCTACACCTCAGACCATATTAAAAAAAAATAACTCAAATGGATCTAAGGTCTAATATAAAAGCTAAAACTCTTAGAAGAAAACATAACAATACATCTTCATGATCTTAGCTTAAGCAATGGTTTCTTAAATGGTTTCAAAAGCACAAGCAACAACAAAAACAACAAAATAGATAAACTGGACTGCCTAAACATTAAAAACTTTTGATATGCAAAGGACACCATCAAGAAAGTAAAAAAGGAAAGCATCGAACAGACTGTCAAATTACAGCAGGAAGGCTGGGGAGTGTTGTGGAGGGGGGGGGAAGAGATCAACCGAAGGACTTGTATGCATGCATATAAGCACAACTAATGGACACAAGACACTGGGGGGATGAGGGCATGCGACAGAGGGTAGGGGAGGCTGGGGGAAGGTCAATGGGGGGAAAAAAAGGAGATATATGTACTAATATGTGTAATACTTTAAACAATTTAAAAAAAAAAAGGAAAAAAATAATAAAAATAAAGGAAACAAAAAAAGAAAGTAAAAAAGGCCCTAGCCAGTTTGGCTCAGTTGATAGAGCATCGGTCTGCAGACTGAAGGGTCCTGGGTTCAATTCCAGTAAAGGGTACATGACCAGGTTGCAGGCTCAATCCCCAGTAGGGGGCATGCAGGAGGCAGCCAATCAATGATTCTCTCACATCATTGATGTTTCTATCTCTCTCTCCCTCTCCCTTCCTTTCGGAAATCAATAAAAATATACTTAAAAAGAAAGACAAGCCACAGAATGGAAGGATATTTTTACAAATAATATATCTAATAAGAGACTTGTATCTAGAATACACAAAGAATTCTTACAATAATAATAAAAAAAAAACCCAATTTTTTAATGGGCAAAGGATCTGAATAGTTATTTCTCCAAAGAAGATACACAAACGGCCAATAAGCACATGAAAAAATTTTCAATATCATTAGCTATCAGAGAAATGCACAGCAAAATTAAAATGAGATACCACTTAATACCCACTAGGATGGCCATAATTAAGATAAATAATAACAAGTGTTAAGTGAGGCAAAAGGAGGTTTACAGTTGTTCATATGGAAAAATAACACAATAATTAAATAATACAAAAATAAATACTAGATGAAAGAAAATAGATTAAATCAGTATTTTATAGTACTGTTTTTATTAGGTTCTTTGTTTTTAATTCAATGTATCTTTCCATATTCATAAGCAAATATATTTTTCATTTGAAGTCAGAAAGATTAAATTGGATATTTGTTTACTATCAAATGATAGGTGGCAGTAAAAACAGTTAAGCTCCTCCCGAAGGCAATAAACCCAATGCAGGACTATATTGTGACCTAAATTGGTCCAATCAGAAGAAACCCAAAAGTGTAATGGTCTGGGGAAGAAGAGAACTCTCTCCCCACTCCCTCCCCCTCTGCAAATATTACTCTGCCACAAGTAAAGCAGACTAAGAACAAAAACAACCAAGGGCGAGGTCAGAGCCAAGAGAAACCTGGAAAAACTGAGCCTTAGCTTTGATACTATTATGATCCCCTTGATCAAATTATTCCTAAAGTCGACACTACTGCTGGATTTCTCAGATATATAAGCCAATAAACTTTCTTTCTTGTTAAAAGTCAATCTGAATTGGGTTTTCAGGTGCTTGATTACAAAAGCATCCAGATACAGCTTCCAAAACAAAAGCTGTTCTTTGCTCTTATTTTTGCAAGCACGGTAAACTTAGATAAATATTCAATTACTTTAAAGGAGAGGATATTTTACCTTGGCTTCCAACTGATTGGCAAAAAAGGGAGGATTGCACATGCAAAAGTCATAGATTATCTCAGATTCTTCTTTAAGAGCATCCATCAGAAGTGTCTTCTGTGGTACTTTTACAACTAGGAAAAAAAATAGGACTGTTAATCAATATTAATGCTGTGGTAGTTTTCAAATATGTCCACAAATTCTGTGACAACAGTCCCTTCAAAGGTGGAGTTTGATTTCCCTCTCCTTAAGTATAGGTTGCACTCACTGACTCGTTTTTATTGAATAGAATATGATGAAGTGACAGACAGGGTGTCACTTCTGAGGCTCGGTCATAAAAATATAGCTTCTTCCTTGTTCCATCTCCTGAATTATTTGCTCTAGGAGAAGCCAGTAATACAGGCTTCAGTATCTCCCCTTACAATAATATGTTGACTTTGTGGAATCTCTTTATGGGAGTCTCTTAAATAAATCAAGAACACAAATAATCACCAGCCCTTTATATATAAAACTAGAGGCCCGGTGCACAAAAATTTGTGCACTTGGGGGTGGGGGGTGGGGGAGGTCCCTCAACCTGGCCTGCGCCCTCTCAGTCCGCGAGCCCTCAGGGGATGTCCTCCTGATGGCTTAGGCCCACTGCTGCCGCTGCCAGCCTCCCTCTGTGGAAGGCGACCAGGCAGGTGATCAGGGGTAGGCGATCAGGTGACGGTGCTGCCCCCATCAATCCACCACTGCTGGCCTCCCTCTGCGGGAGGCGACTAGGCAGGTGATCAGGGTACAGCGCCACCCCCATCATCCTCCCTCTGCAGGAGGCAACCGGGCGGCCAATCAGTCCGGCACAGCCCCGCCCCCTCCCTCACCCCCCCTCCGCTGCCGCTGGTCACTGCCGCCTCTCCCCATCGTGGTCCCCTCCCTCTGCCCACTGGCACATGCCTTGGCTCTCCTGGCGCCACCTGCTAGCTGGTCCCGCCCCCCGCTGAATGGTCATTCCGTGGTTTGGTCGATTTGCATATTATGCTTTTATTATATAGGATAAGCACAAAAGTAAAAAGTAATAGATTATTAAGGGAATTCAACCATTTGTAACAATGTACTGAAATTAAAAAAAGATGGTATAATTTAATCAACAGTTGGGTTTTCTTACTTTTAAAATCTTGGTGACTAATAAAAATAAAACAAAATAGCCCTAACCAGTTTGGCTCAGTGGATAGAGCGTCAGCCTGCAGACTCAAGGGTCCCAGGTTCGATTCCGGTCAAGGGCATGTACCTTGGTTGCGGGCACAACCCCAGTGGGGGGTGTGCAGGAGGCAGTTGATCAATGTTTCTAACTCTCTGTCCCTCTCCCTTCC